TGAGCGGTTCTCCGCCCGCTCCCCCCCTTCCGTCGCCCGCTCGCTCCCCCGCGCGCAGCTCGCTCCGCCCCGGAAGCGGCCGTTGACCCCGCCCATGCTCTGGAGGGGGCGCCCTGGGGTCCGGCGTTACTCGCTGCTGGGCTGACGGAGGCGGTCGGGGCGGCAGGTGAAGGCGGAGCGAACTCCTGTTCCTGGTTCCGGTGCCCGTGGGCTCCGGGAGCTCCACGTCCGGGGCCGCGGTTACGCTTCCCGCCGAAATCGCTCCGACGCGCCCCTGGCGGCTGGCGCTTCAGCCTCGCACTAACGTACTCGCAACCGGGCAGTTTCAATTTCAGGTTAACAACAGGAGATGCACCTGGAGTTTCCCCAGAGCCCTCTGCGTTTTTAAGCGTCGGGTGGAATTGGGGTCCTTGGCTGTAGACCGCGCTCGCTTGATGAAAATAGACATCGGCCCTGCTCCCGTCAGCGGTAAGTCTTAAAGCAAAAAGCCAACCAACCGTGTGACCCTGAGGCGGTGTCTGCCGCGGGCTGGGGCTTAGAAATAGAACTTTGCGAGTAATTAAGGCGTCCGGGACAACCTGGCTGTGTCTGCTGCCAGCTGCAGGTTAAAACTCGTTTACAAATGAGGGCGAAAGTGCTCTTCGGGTCTCGCCGGAACAGGACTGACGGCGGGCCGCGTTCCCGGCCCGGAACCTTCGAGAAGCTGGGAGGTGCGGTTTAAGCCGCCCTGTTTACTCCACCGATAAACCTAATCAGCCGGGTCCGCGAGGGCGCCACCCAGTTTATCTTGATTGGATCTGCTTGAATCCGAATTCAATCCCGTCTAACCAGTAGCGTGAGGGAAGCCCGTTCGGGAGAGCCTCGCGGGAGTCCGGCAGCCTGTTAGAAACGCAGACTCTCTTCGGCCCCGGATATAGCGTTTTAAATAACAGTTTACATTTATGCGGGGTTCCCTTCCCAATAGTGCCTAACGTAATAATCACAGGGGCCTAGTAAGGCAGGGCAAATAATAAGGCAACACGCTCAGCGAAATTAACTTTCCCAGTTCTTTGTTTCTAAAACTAACAATGTAGCTTAGTTTTCAGACGTATTCCCTATACTTAAGCAAATAGTTAGGCCTTTGGGTACAGCCTTATCGCGTGACTTGGAGCGATGGTAGTAACGCTGTTTTTCCTGTTGAAAGCATATGTCATTCAACGTTTCTTCTCCTTATCCTTAGTTAATTAAAAGGTTAATGTTAGGTCACGGGAAGTGAAGTTAATCTAGTAAAACTGGGAAAGAAAGCCTTGAGTGTCTCCACCTTGCCACCGAGGATGTTTGTAAATTACAATCCCTGTTGGATTTCTAGCAAACTTTCTCTGGGGTCCACCCCAGTGAAAATAGGCTGCCCCCTGCTCAGGCTCTGGTCTTGCCCCACCCCCACCTGCTCTCAATATTTAAATTTTCTTACTGTGATTAAAGTTTTCTGTATAGAAACTTGGGACTTGAGTTGTCTCTTCGGGGCAAGTGGGAGTTCCCTTGCAGTTATCTTCTGTATTACACTAAGAAGAGGTAAATCTTGTAAATGCTTGAGGGCAAGCCCCAGCCCTGCTTTGTTTCTCTAAGGAAGGCAGCACCTAGCACCAGAACCACCACCTCTGGTTGCTCTGGTGAGTGCTTGGACACTGAGGCTAGATGGCCATATTGCTCTTTTTTAGGACAATTCGCACCTACCAGGAGTGTCTCCGGCTGTGGGCATCCCCCCTTGTTCTTTAAGGTGAGCTATTTTAAGAAAAGTAATTTCTGTTCATATCTGTGTTATATTCAAGTAGAAAATTTTCTTAAGAATGTGAGATTTAAATTTTTGTCCTAAGTACTGTAAGTCTCTGCAAAGAATCTATAGAGGATTCTGAAAGCAAAAGTGAAAATATTTTAGTTTTTTGTGGTGTTTAATTGCATAAATAATACTTACGAAATGCGTGTTCTTTTTTATGCTTCCTGCGTGTCTTTCTTGGCCTAACTGGGCTGCCATATTCTAGAGGAAGATATTGACCCTCCCCCACGTGGTCTTCAGTTAATCCCTTGCTAATCTTAAACCTGCTGTGCCTGGGGGTGGGGCAACAGTGACCCACAGAGCTGACAGTCTGTCCCCTCAGGCTTCCAATGCAGTTTTGAAGATATCTTTTAAACACAGCAAGCATGCTATGGTAGCATAGAATAATAAGATTTAGTTTGTAGCAGGGGGAAGATCTTTTGGAACTGTGGCATATTTGAGCTGAGGCTTTAAAGATTATAATGTAGGATTTAGCTAGACTGAAGGTTGGAAGGAATGCATTTGGAGAGAATTACCATGTGTGTCAGATCCAAGGGAGCAAAGAGCCTGGCACATTTCAGGCATGGGAATAAACAGGAGATTTTAAAATGGTGGGGTGGTATGAGTTAGTAGATAGTGTGTTGCAGGCCAGAGTTGCAAGACCTTCGAACCCCTTAGCCCTGTGGTTTGTGTTCCAATGTTAGTGGAAAACCTCGGCAGACTTGCAGTGGGAGAGGGACATAAAGTCACCTTAACATGGAACACTTCAGCTGCAGATTGAGTTGCAATATGAGCTAGCCATTATGCTTGGAGAAGTTTAAAAACCAGATCCAAGTATCCTGGAATGGGCTATTGGTATAGGAATTAGAAATATGAGGGCAATGCAGAAAGAAAATGACAGTTTGATCATTGATACCACGAAGGAATTATTCAGCTCATTCTTTGCCAAGCTCAGACTGAATATAGAACCGTAAGAAGCCTTTATTGTTGACATCAAGAGTTACTGATAGGGTTTAGGGGTGTGGTTAGGGTTGAGAATGGGATCACCTGAGAATAATGAATTCGTTGGATTTGAGGCAGAAGGCCTCAAATTTATTTATTACATTGAATATTTAAGTTATGAAAATTATGGTTCGAAACATAACTTGTCAGTGATTTGTTTTCTGTAATACTAGTGCAGTTGAGTATTGCATACATTAATTACCAGTTTGCTTTTCCTTAGCTTAAATTACCTAATCATGCTTTCTATTTTTTATAAATTTTGGGTTTTTAAAGAAAAATTAATTTAGACGTTCTTTTTATATATATTTGTCCATATTTTGCACTAATATTGTAAATAACTCATTCCATCAGAGATGCTTTTGTGATTCATTTGAGCTAAGTTTCTATTATTTTATTGTTTTCTACTCATGCCCACGTTTCTTGAAAAGTTATCTCTCTTACCACTGATTTTAATGGCTGCATCTATACTTGATGTGAAATGACACTTTTCATGAAACATTTAATTTCCACATCAGTACATGTACCCATTTTGAGCATTGGTCACTAAAAATGAATTTTTAGTTCTATCGATATTTTTGTCTCTTATGCATATGTTGCTATCAGATGGTTCAATTCCTACTCTTCAGAAGACTTGAACTCTGGGTGCCAGATGCCAGTTGCACTTTATGACACCCTATGAGAAGGGCAACTCTTACCCCTCTTGTATGTGGAGGAGTTCTTTTTCCTCGTAGTCCTTCAACAAAATGTAGCAGAAAATGTGTATCATGTAATGTTATTTTTAAAAAACTTTTAGAGAGAAACATCAATTTGTTCTTCCACTTATTTATGCATTTATTGGTTGGTTCTTGTATGTGCCCTGACCTGGGGATTAGACCCGCATCATTGACACATTGGAACAGTGTTCTAACCACTGAACCACCAGGCCAGGGTCAAACTTTTATTTATATATGAACCTTGAGAAGCTTATTTGATTTCTGTGTTTGAGGTGCACATAACTAATATTCTGTTGATGGACTTGTCTGCTTGTCTGGATGTGATTTCACCTTGGTCTCACACTTGACTCATTTTGTTTGATTTGACAATCTAGAAGAAAATGATCCTTAGACTCTGGAAACCATTGCTGTCTTACATCCTTGCAGCTTTGCTTATAAAGAGAACACTGACTCCCGGTGTCAAAGAAAATGTTATTCTATATTGTGGTTTAAAGTAGTCTGTGATCATCACTTGTTTTACTTCTATAGTGTCGAAGAATCTACAGGAGCTCTTATTAATGAACTACCAAATTTCATCATGACAAATACCTGGATTAAACATATAACAAGAAAATGCTCTTGTCTAACCTGACTAATATGTAGATTCCTATGTTCAGTGCACCAAGTTACACTAGCCTCCTGCCTTTTACTTTAGTGATGCAGTAATACATCTCATCTGTTTTCTTCTAGTTGAGTTCTCTTACCATTTCTGAATGTTGCCTGAGTTGATTCTCTTGTCTTCCCTTCTAGAACTTGAGTAATTGACCATTAGAATTTACAGATTTTGAGATACTGATTGAAGCTTCCGGGTCACTACTTTGTTCTTCAAATTTTACTCTAAATTCTAATTACCTTTTTTAAAGACCCACCCCCAGTTGTTTCTCAGTCTGTTGGAAAATATGTACATTTTTTGAAAGACCTGGGACTGAATCTCAACTCGAATGTATTTTGGGGCATTTCAACTTCTCTTATCCTTCCTCTCTGTAAGGGGGAGAAAACTGTATTTACTGCATGTTCTTGTTATACATTTGAAAGGGAAAATTATGTAGTTTTTGCTTTCTTTTCAGCCACAAAAAGCAGCAGCTGGGCTTGTTTGAAGTCTGCCCTGTCAAGTGTCCATGATGCTGGGCCCTGAGGGAGGTGAAGGCTTTGTGGTCAAGCTTCGTGGCCTGCCCTGGTCCTGCTCTATTGAGGATGTGCAGAATTTCCTCTCCGGCTGCATAATTCATGATGGGTCCGCAGGCATTCATTTCATCTACACTAGAGAAGGCAGGCAGAGTGGTGAGGCTTTTGTTGAACTTGAATCAGAAGATGACGTGAAAATGGCCCTTAAAAAAGACAGGGAAAGCATGGGACACCGATACATTGAGGTGTTCAAGTCCCACAGAACCGAGATGGATTGGGTGTTGAAGCACAGTGGTCCAAACAGTGCTGACACCGCTAATGATGGCTTCGTGCGGCTTCGAGGACTCCCATTTGGATGCACCAAGGAGGAAATTGTTCAGTTCTTCTCAGGGTTGGAAATCGTGCCAAATGGGATCACATTGCCTGTGGACCCCGAGGGCAAGATTACAGGGGAAGCCTTTGTACAGTTTGCCTCACAGGAGTTAGCTGAGAAGGCTCTAGGGAAGCACAAGGAGAGAATAGGGCACAGGTATATTGAAGTGTTCAAGAGCAGTCAGGAAGAAGTTAGAACATACTCGGATCCCCCTCTGAAGTTCATGTCTGTACAGCGGCCAGGGCCCTATGACCGTCCAGGCACAGCCAGGAGGTATATTGGCATTGTCAAGCAGGCAGGCTTGGAGAGGATGAGGTCTGGTGCTTACAGTGCAGGCTATGGGGGCTATGAGGAGTACAGTGGCCTCAGCGATGGCTATGGCTTTAGTGCTGACCTGTTTGGAAGAGACCTCAGTTACTGTCTCTCTGGGGTATATGACCACAGATATGGAGATGGCGAGTTCACTGTCCAGAGTACCACTGGACACTGTGTCCACATGAGAGGGCTGCCATACAAAGCCACAGAGAACGACATTTACAACTTCTTTTCTCCTCTCAACCCTGTAAGAGTCCATATTGAGATTGGCCCTGATGGAAGAGTGACGGGCGAAGCTGATGTTGAGTTTGCCACTCATGAAGAAGCTGTGGCAGCTATGTCCAAAGACAGGGCCAACATGCAACATAGATACATAGAACTTTTCTTGAATTCCACAACAGGGGCTAGCAATGGGGCATATAGCAGCCAGATGATGCAAGGCATGGGGGTGTCAGCCCAGTCCACTTACAGTGGCCTTGAGAGCCCATCTGTGAGTGGCTGTTACGGAGCTAGCTACAGTGGCCAGAACAGCATGACTGGATATGACTAAATTTTGTAGAGCATTTGAGTTGTTATAAATTTTCATAGGCAACCAACAAGCAGTGAAAAGCAGTTATTACTTTAGAAGAAGCTGTGGGGACCCATTTTGCACCATTGAGTTTGTGAAATCTGGATTAAAGAGTTACCTCTTCAGTGTTTTCTCATGCAAACTTTCTTCTGGCATGTGATATTGAGTAAACTAAAACTTTTCAGTTTTTTTCAATATTTTGACAGTGTCCTTCAGGGGGTGATGTTATCTGACTTCAAGTAGTTTTAAGTACATCAAATACGGATCTTTTACACCATATCACCATGAACACATTGGGGAGATGGATTTTTGGGAAACTCAAGGTGCTAGATTCCCTAACTCAAAGGAACATTTCTCATGTTTGTTCATTCTAGTTTATTTTCATTTAAAATCTCTTAGGTTAAGTTTAAGCTTTTTAAAAGTTAGTTTTGGAAATTGAGACACATTACTAATACTGTAGGAATTGGTGAGGCCTTGACTTAAAGCTTTCTTTACTGTGATTTCCTTTTGGGTGTATTTTGCTAAGTGAAATTTGTTAAAAAAAATTTTTTTGTTAACTAAACTTTTTTCTTAAAATAAAGACTTTTTCACAATGACTGGCATAGACTATCTACTCACCAAAAAGTAGCAAAACGACTGGGTGGTTGAAGAGAATTCATTTAAATAACTATTTCAGTGTGAATTTAAAAATAATTTAGCACATCAAATATGATTTTCCTTATCTTTTTACTAGGAAGCTAAATTGAAAGTAATCTTTTTGAAAGTATTATGTATATATGGGTGGTAGAAATGGTGACTTAGGAACACATCCCAGAAAGCAGGAAAGTAGAAGCACACAGTCCCAGCCTCCTATGACTCGTGCTCTGTTCTTCAGCCCTGCTGGTCCCTCACATGCTAGAGTCACATCCATTTCTCAGCCTAGAGATCTACAG